CTAGGCGCTGGTGTTTATCAATGAGTTTATATAACTCACTAGGCACTGGTGTTTATAAATGAGTTTATATAACTCACTAGGCGCTGGTGTTTATCAATGAGTTTATATAACTCACTAGGCACTGGTGTTTATCAATGAGTTTATATAACTCACTAGGCACTGGTGTTTATCAATGAGTTTATATAACTCACTAGGCACTGGTGTTTATCAATGAGTTTATATAACTCACTGGGCACTGGTGTTTATCAATGAGTTTATATAACTCACTAGGCACTGGTGTTTATCAATGAGTTTATATAACTCACTAGGCACTGGTGTTTATCAATGAGTTTATATAACTCACTAGGCACTGGTGTTTATCAATGAGTTTATATAACCCACTAGGCACTGGTGTTTATCAATGAGTTTATATAACTCACTAGGCATTGGTGTTTATAAATGAGTTTATATAACTCACTAGGCACTGGTGTTTATCAATGAGTTTATAAAACTCACTAGGCACTGGCGTTTATCAATGAGTTTATATAACTCACTAGGCATTGGTGTTTATCAATGAGTTTATATAACTCACTAGGCATTGGTGTTTATAAATGAGTTTATATAACTCACTAGGCATTGGTGTTTATAAATGAGTTTATATAACTCACTAGGCACTGGTGTTTATCAATGAGTTTATATAACTCACTAGGCATTGGTGTTTATAAATGAGTTTATATAACTCACTAGGCATTGGTGTTTATCAATGAGTTTATATAACTCACTAGGCATTGGTGTTTATCAATGAGTTTATATAACTCACTAGGCATTGGTGTTTATAAATGAGTTTATATAACTCACTAGGCACTGGTGTTTATCAATGAGTTTATACAACTCACTAGGCACTGGTGTTTATCAATGAGTTTATAAAACTCACTGGGCACTGGTGTTTATCAATGAGTTCATATAACCCACTAGGCACTGGTATTTATCAATTAGTTATATATCTCACTGGGCACTGGCGTTTATTTTTTGATAAAATATTTTATGGTTTAGATTGCATAGTTTGTATGTCATAAATTCCTCATAATTTTCGGAAACCTACTTGGGGTTGTGGCCAAATTTGTTGAGTTTTAATTTTGAGACCCTGCGAACTAGACTAAAAGCGTTTTAAGATTTTAAATATGGATATTATTTTGTAGAGTGATTGGCAATCATCCGGGGTGAATGCGGCGTGTTTAGTAAATGCTTTATCTGATAATACTGTATATGAAGGAAGGGCCGATGGTTACTGTGGAGAATGTAAATCATCTACTATAAATATCAAAGACGGCGACGGTAAGTAGATCTTAGGGGCTGGACCCTACTAAAATGGTTGTTATAGTAAACAAAAAGATAACATAATTTCGTCCCTCTTTCCAAAAAACTGTATATTATATTAGTCTATATTTAGTAGTTTACCCATTTGGAAATCTCAAGCAGTTTCCGTATAGCAGAATATTTATGGAAGTCTACCGTCTACCGCAAAAGTTCAGCTTTTAGTATATTTCTTTTTTAATTTCAGGAATATTGCCAGAGTCTGCGGCAACAGTACCACATTGTACTAGTAGTACTTCCTAACTGGAGGTACCATACGTTAATCATTGTATGCTCGGAGGGAGAGAAGGAGATTGGAGGGTGGGGGAGACTTGTCCGTGCTGAATGTTGCCACAATCTTTGTGTGTTGGAAGAGAGATCGGAATAAGTTCTTTTCATCGACAAACAAAACTTATTTTGTGAATATATTTGTTATTAGATTAAATCTTTAATTTCTAGATTACTTTATTTTTTCGCGTCTGAGGACTAGGAGATTCGTTGACAAGGATTGAAGACTAGGCTACCCAAAACTTTGGCCTGTTAAGATGTCCTTATGTAGACAGTGGCCCACGGGTCTACCGAAGTTACAGGTTGAACCACGGGCTCTCACTGCTAAGGGGTCCCAATATCTCAAGAATATAAAAATGATTGAAAAAGCAAGGTCTCAGAATGAAGGAGAACATATGAAAGCATGAGCAAAAGGTTCTGGGATGAGGAGGGGGGCC